ATCCCAAATACTAGTAATTTGGGATTTTGGCGTCCCAAATCCCAAATGATTTGGGATTTGGGCAACACGTATATGTTTAGTTCACAATTACTTGATAAAATACATCAACAAATTATTCCAATCCAAAGTGTGACACTTAATTCAAATTGTGAATTAAAATTTAAGGAGGTAATCAAGAAAGCAAAGAAGTCTTGCAATTGTGCTACAGATTTGTTTCTCAAAAAACTTACAGATAATAAACTTTTAAGGAAAAATTTCAGTTATGTAATTTTGAAAGATCTGGAAACATTACTTAGTGAAAAAATTAAAAACGAACCTAGTGAAATTACGTTAATTACGAATCATCTAGATTATATAATGAAAGGCATATTTCACCATCCAAATAAACACATTGTTCAATGGTCCAATACTGTTCTAAATGAAAGCAAATCAAGAAAATTTGAAGGTCAAAGCAAGCAACCAAACTTTGTTGTTTCAGTTATCTATCAACTTCAAATAGAAGCTGTTGTATTTGTGGGTGAGGTCAGCTCACCGTCACAGAAAAACAATGTGTACAAAAATTGTAATAATCTTATTCAAATTGGTGTGATCATAAAGGATTGTATGGATTTTTCAATAGATAAAGGTGCTAATATTAATGTAATAGGTTTTCAATGTATTGATAAGAAAATTAGTATAATGTATTTTTTAATCATGAATTATTTTTAATCACTTTCAACATTTCATTATATAGATTATACAATCGATTTTTTTATATTAGATCTTATCAAAGGAACATATTTTATGCTTTATATTGGTCAAATTTCTGTGCTGACATCAGTAAAAGAGATACTATTCTTTGTTGATGAAATAGAGACACTTTTGGGAGTACAAGAAATTTTTCAAAAAATATATAATACGATATATGATAAGTTCTGTAATCCAGAATTACCAACAATAAAGACAGAATTCAAATGTGATACCCTTAACACTCCCAAATTTAATTAACTTGTGGATAAAACACGTAATTGTTATTGAATATGTCTCTTCTGATATGGATATTTCTAGATGTAAATAATAAAGTTTATTATATAAGGATTTATTTTTTAATATAATTAAACACTTGTTGTGTAAATAATTATACAACCTGTAATGCATATTTATATTAATAAAAATAATCATTACAAAGTTTTAAGTTTACTCAATATCAAAGATACTCTAGGATAACTATATATAGATTTTTATAATACCAAATGTACCTTAAAACAATCTAGTATTCTTCGCACAATTTTTCTTGAGTTGATCCTGCTTTTGCTGTTAGACAAAATTATTAGGATCTCCTCTGTGAAAGAATTCAATATATTTTTCATGTTGCCTACCTTGCACTTCAATTGCAAATCCATATTTCGGATAATAAATATCAAAATATAAATCACTTGGATATTCTGAAGTTTTGAGAAATTCAGGTCAATGTATCTTAAATGGGGATTCAAGATATTTTGATACAATTTCTCAACACAAATTTTTTCTTTTATATTTTGAGCAATAGGAGTATCAAGTTCCTCTTTGAATTTGATCAATTTGAATAAGTTATGAATGGCCTTTAGAACAACTTCAAGAAAGTGAAGTATGTCTATTACAATAAGAATTAAAAATATATTTGTCACCTTTTTTATTTACAAGATTCTGAGCAAATTCAAGACTAAGTTTTTTGTATTCACAACATCAACATTTATAATCTTTGATCTCTGTAAGAGATAGGTGAAATTGATGATTATTTTTGTATTCTCATAAAAGAGGTGATCTATTATTAATATAATTTTCAAAAATATATTTTCCATTTTTAACAAGTGCTAATTCCCAAGTTATTGAAATATTAAGTTTTTTACTTACACAATGAGAGCACCATGAATATTTATTTTTGATAGTATAGAATTGAGTAATCTATTGATGAAATTTATTGCATTTCTAAAGTATTGGAGTTATATTATTAATATACTCTTTGGAAAGGCATTTTCCTTCACAAGATTCTACTATTTTTATTGCATCATTTAAAAATAATTTTTTAAGCATTGTGATTAATAATATATTCTTAAATAATTATCTTACTTTTCAAAATATTTTGTAATATCACAATCTAAAAATAAGCAAGATATAGATATACCTGATCAAGAAACTCAAACCCAAGATATTATTCCAATTTGTAACCATGAGAAGGAAATTAATTCTTGAGTTAAGAAAGAGTTAGATAGTTTATTCTAACAATTATTGGAATACAATGAAAAAACTTTTGACTCCTTTATGCAAAAAATCACTAAAAAACTTGAGAAGCAGGTTAATGCTAATAATAAATTGTACAGTGAAATAGAGCAACAAAAAATACAATTGCATAAAGTGAAAAGATTACTTGCAAGTTTGAAGTCCCAATAATAAGTAGTAAGTATATTGATGTTACACTTTATTCATCTAATTTTAGAAGCATATTCTAACTTTTTCTTATATAAAAAAAATCTTCTTTTGTTTTGGTTAAATCAATTACAATGAATTCTCAACCTTGTAGATTTTTATCAAGTATATTAATGACATTATATCAATTTTTTATATATCACCTAGCAATATTATCTAGTTCATTATATATACCATTATCACAGGTGTTATTAAAGCTCCTCATAGGCCTTAAGGCTCGCGAGCCTAGCGAGCCGAGCCGATCCAAGCCGAGCCGAGCCTGATATT